AATAAACTTTTCATAACAATCTTGGTTGGAGCTAAATCAATCTACTGTCAGTACTGTTGATTGATTTTATATGTCGTTTTCAACTTTAATTATTTGTTTCAGAGTTGCTATATTTTGATGTCTTGCAGTGGTGCTTGCGAAATCGTTTTCATTCTACACGAGGACGGACTGTTCGACATACAAAATCAATCATCACAGTGTTCTCTATCAAAAACTACATTAAAATGTGATAAAGTAGAAAAGAGGGTGCTAACGTATTTGGGGGGGGGCACGCGGCTCGCGGCGAGTGATGACTCATCGACTCTTCTGCTTCCTCCTCGGCAAAATAGAAGTAACCTCATGTTTAAGACATGGATATAACACCGTCCTAGCTATATTGAAAGCTTAAGCAGTTAACGCTGAAAAGTGCGAAGAAACAGTTGTAGGATGGAAGATTTTGCCTAAACTACCAACGATTGTTGCCTTTTTGATGTTGACCGTTATTCTTGACTACAAAAGATCAAACATTTGTTGTTCTCAGCTTCTGTGGGATTTCTCAGCAAGTATTCGGTGAATCTTGTTTGTTTTATTCTAATTTTGCTGCTAGATTAGCGCTATAAGTATGTCAATGAGTGAAGAGCCGATGAGTCATCACTCGCCGCGACCCGCGTGCCCCCCCCCCCCCAAATACGTTAGCACCGAAAAGAGGAGCTTAGCATCAGATAAACATGAGAAACTAAGAGAAAGGGGTTGAATTTGGAAAGAAAAAACATAAATGTAAGCTGGAGTTTGTTACAATTGTAGCGCGACGCTACAGCTTGTAGCGCTACGTCGCGCTACAAGTCTGAACGCTGATTAAGACGAATACCAAAGAGTTTCGAAGTTTAATCGAGCACTCGCTGCTACTTCCCCCTCGTTTTCCCCATCATGTCGACAAGTGCCGCCTGAAATGAGGGAGTAAGGAAAAAGCAAGGCCCTCCACACAAATTCAAATGCTTAGTCCGAATTTAACCAAGGCAAGGCCCTCCACACCATTTCAAATGCTTAGTCCGAATTTAACCTCATATGTATGCAGACTGAGTACAGGTCTTCACTTAGCCTCTGCGGAATACTTATTGAGGAGCAGGAACCGCTTTCCCTCCCTCACAGCTGACAAGGAAAGGATGGTTGGTCGAAGTGGCCATTTAAGACAAGATGCATACTCACTGATGCGTCTTCGGACGCTGATTTCAAATCTGCTTTCCATATCTGCTAAACGATTCTCTGAGCAGAGATATGCAGGAGGTTGTTGTACGGAGCACAATTGAGCTTGGTACACAAATGAGACGTGAGTCGTCACACGATGTGCCTCGGTGGCCTAGTGGGTAGTATGCCGGCTCAAGTTTACGAGGTGAGAGGTTCGAATCCTTGATGGATGTGCTCTTTTGCATTGTTTCAGCAGTGCTCTCTGGAAGTTTTTAACACAGCCTAGCATGATCAGGGAACCTTGTCATGCCATGGGCTTTTCTTGGAAAACTGAACCATTCTCGCCTGTGAACACTTCTAATGATTTATTTTGCTCATATAGTGGGTACAAACAAGTTTTGTGATTCAAGAACAAATGTGATAATCCAGAACAAAGTGTTGGAAGCAAAAAAGTTTCTCGCAATGGGAACACCGGATAAAAAAATTTCCTTGCACTCTGCTGTGTTACAGGGTTCTATGACATTTGGAGGGAATGCATATTGAATAGGCGTTTCAAATTCAAAAGGGTTCGGGTCCTTCCTGGAGTTGTGGTTTTGCATTTTCTCAAAAATGCTCCCTGCACATCCTAAAAGCACTTTTGCGGGGTTAGGAGACCTGATCTTACCGAAAATGTTGTTTCTGAAGGAATGGAGCCATTCTGGAACACTCCTGAAGGATACCCTTGATTGTTGGTTTCGGCGGCATTATTCGTTACGTTGTGTTGTGCCACCAAACTGATTCCAAATGGCATGGAAGCCAGAAGTGAATGTCATGTTTGTGATCAGGGCCGTCAGTAACCAATAAGGACTGAGATTCAGCGGAAAAGTTGCATGGCTCACAGAGATTTTGATCGGCGATAGTGCCAGCGACCTTAAGGAATTCGTTGCCCATGGTTACCCCACTGTATCGAAAATAGGTCGAAATCTCAGATTTGGTTGAAAACTTGCCTCTAGGGCTAATTTGAGCCCCAGAACACGAATATCACACTTGCTCGGCGTAAAAACGCTCGCCAAGGGAGTTGCAGGTCCTGCACACCCTGCCCCTCCAGAATGTGAACAAGACATTTTTATGAAAAATACCTGCAGTGATGATTTCCAGAGCACCAGACCACCTCTAATTCCAGATTTTAGCAAATTTGGGGGTTTTGGTGTGCCTCAAATACATGCTGGAAATGGGTGTGACCTGGTCAAAATTCCTGCATAACTTTGTCCAGGGAATCGTTCAGCAGAAATGGAGGGCAGATTTGTAATCAGCGTTCAAGGGCCCATCGGGCAGTATACATCTCATTTCGAATGGCCACTTCGACCAACCATCCTTTCCTTGTAAGCAGTGGGTACGGTTCTGAAGTTTCGAAGCACTAGCTCATGCTTCGAGTATTATAGCGTAGCAGAATCAGAAATCGCTCATTGAATAAGGCTGAAATGAAGGAAGACTACCTCATGACACGAAAATTACTTGGGATGCAAAGATGCTGTTATGAATCAAATTCCTTGACACATGAATCTCTCTTAGTTGTCCATTACATTCCAAGCCCATCCCATTGCCAAGCTAATCAGCAGGGACGAGGAAAGATCGCCTGAAAAATGAAAAAATAGCATTGACCAGGTATTGTACGCAGTTCCTATAAATACAACACAAGGCTAACACAGCAACAAATGAGTTGTCATCGAAAGCACATCGTTCTCACTATGAACATGTGAGGACGCGCTCTAGACTAGTTGAAATAACGCGCCCTAGGGTGGAAACCGCAATGCGACCGCGGGTTGATAGAAATGTTCGCTTTCGCCGTTTAAGTTCTTCTACACAAACGACCCTGCGTCCGGCAGCGTTCATACTTCGCGACAGCAGCGGCGATCGCCGCGATCGTCGGTACATGGCAGAGCGCGCCCCAACGCTATTACTTGCGCTCCGAAGGCTTTTGGGAAGAAGCGACTCAATTTCATGCTTTTTTTCCTTTAACTGCAATTTTCTTAGGTACTGAAGCTTGGTTTGACACAAAGAAAGGTGAACCCAGCTTAATGGCTTTTGTTTTCTATTTTCTTTCTTGATTCAGGATAGAAATGAGCAAAAAGCGTGAGAGCTTCAGGGTAGGTTTTTATTGTTTCTTTTTTCATTCGTCGAGCTTATACATGAGGTTATAAAGTTTTCACCTGTTGATGTTGCGTAAAATGATTAGTGTTTTGGTTCCTAGGTGAGTTTCTTTCTGTTTCTTTTTTTTCTTCGTTGTTTGAACTCGACTTGTAAACTAAATGTTTTCGAAGTTGGAACAGTTCAGAATACTAATAGGAACAAAATAATAATAGGAACTTTTAAGGCGCTTGTATAAATTGAAACAATAAAAACAAAAGAAACAAAAAGAAGCTCACCCAGGAAATGGAGTTGGCCTTATCCCGACCTGAAAACCTGCTCCAGAGGCTACTGAGCTCGTTTGACATGAAGTATCCTAAAGAGCAATGGAAAGATCATAACATCATAACAGATTACAACTTTTTCAAAGTTTTCTGAGGAGACAGGCGCTGACAACATTTAAACGTTACCGAAAGAAATACGAACAGACTCTTTTGATGGTGTAATTGAAGCAATGAAAGCTAGGATGAGCGTTGATGGTAACAGTCAGCGGGTTAAAGCTCTTGCGGGATTGCGAACACCTTACTATTAGACCCGGTCAAAACAGTGAGCGAGTTTTACTTCGTTTTAGAGGGTTTGGCCAACAGGGCTTATCCCGGTATGCCTTCGGAGCAACTTCGCTACAAAAAGCGGAGATTTTGTGCAGACAGTTGGCCAACTGGGGATGGTAGCTATTGCCTTACAGAAGCACTGGAGACCAGTGATTGCGACCAAGCATACGAGAAAGTAAAGGAGGCAGCGCTTGCGCTTAGAGAGGAGCCTGAAGACAGCTGAAGAATGCAGACTGGCGAGTAAGACAAAGGCCTGCCGCAAACTTTCGGCCAGAAGCATAGAATCTGGGAGAAGCAAAGCGGACAGTATGGGGGAAAGGGTGCCGAAGGGAGTTCAGTACAAGCACGCCAATCCCCAGCAGAGAGTAAGGCAGAAACTACCCCACGTTTCCAGAAGAAGCAAAGAGAGGGCGACCCGCCAAGGTGCTACAACTGTGGCAGAATGAATCACCTGGCAAAAGAGTGCCGGAGGCCGGCAACTCAGCAACGAAATAACCTTGACTAGGCAGGAATCGCATCAATCGCCTAACGTCGCATACGCTTCCCTAGTGGATAAATGGATGTGCACAACGTGGAAGGACTCATCAAATGGAAGCGAGCTATTTGGTGAGAAACCATTAGTAGATATAACCATTTGTGGTGTGAATGCAACAGCGCTCCTAGATACAGGTTCCCAAACAACTATTATCCCCGTGAAACTGTTGAAAAGAGCTGTGTATAGCAGTGTTGACCTGGACGAGTACACTCGCATACCTGGGCCTAAGTTAACAGTACGAGACGCATCTGGGAACGTGATGAAATTCCTCGATACCGTCCGCGTAGCAGTTACACTCGGTGAGCAGCTGGAGTTTATATCTGCCTATGTGGGAAAAGGCCCAGACGAAGTGATAATCTTAGGTACAAACGCTCTAGAAGCATTTAATCTCAAACTGGTAAGGGGAACCACGGCAAAAAGGGAGCCGCTAACTATTAGCAGTGAAGAACCCGACAAAGATGATTTCAATGCCGCGGTCAGAGTCAAAGAACGGACTTATGTTCCTTTCGAAGCTACGCACCCTGACATTGACATGTGCACGGGCTAACATTGCGAAGTCACCAGGACCTTATCGAGTAATCAAAACAAGCGAAAACTCAGCGTGATAGCTAATTTGAACGAAAAAGAAGAACCTATACAAGTCCCGTTCAACGCGCTAATCGCCTACAGAGCTCGAATGTCTACCAAAGGAAACAAAACAAAAAGAGTCAAAAGACGCCACCCGCAAGCGGCGGACACAGGCCCGTTAGGGCTTTTCTTTCGATGTCCGGGCGAGTACGCTTGAGATGGCTGTGGGTACGCGTGCACGATACAGGAGAAGACCTTCAAAGACGTGGTGCCGACAGCATCAGAAGCAATCGGGAAATATTCGTTTTGACTCGATTTTTGCTCTTGCCAGACTAGTCTCAATTTTTGATCACGACATAAGTGAACAAAACAAAAGATCTTCTGATGTTAGAACCGAAGCATGTTTTCGTTACCATCAGTGGCGTCGAAAAAGCTTATCTCTTCTATAAAACATTCTGCGACCACGTCTTCCGGACCATGATGCTCCATGATGGGTCTTCTCCTCTGCCTTCCGCACTATGGTGGTCTGGCTTGCCGATGGAGCAGCTCAACGAGGCCACGAACGAAGGCGTGAGATACGCCAAATCGCACGACTGGTGTGAGGTGGCACAGAGTGAAACCGCGAAGATCCTCCTGGTGTTGCCCGATAGCTTCGCAGGATTAGCAGCGACTTCAAGGAGCATCCGGACGTCGAGCGTCGTCTATACAACAGCCTCAACGAGATCGGAAGATTCCTAGAGAGGTCCACGTCACAGGCTTTGTCTATTGGTCGGTCCCACGACGCAGTCGCCTCTGTCTAAACGCGACTGGTGCAAGTTGGCTTCTTCACTGGCGGCGGCAGCTCGGATGGGAATGAAAGTTGTAGCAGTCGCCCCACCGCGTGGAGACAAGGCGTACACCAGAATCGGGCGGACATGAACGAGGCCATCAAGTTGGTCAAGTCAGCTGCTGCCTTGTCGCAGCACGGTCCATGTAGCCTCATCCCTGAGTCACCGAGCAAATCCTCCCATGGACCTGGTTCACAGCCGAGAAATTCTACGTCAGAAGCGTACTCCACTGAGGTCATAAAAGCATACTTCGATACACTTTGCAGTTATGTGAAAGCGGAAATGGAAATTCCCCCGCTCGAGGGGCTTCAAAGAAATGGAATGTCGCGGGCCAATACTTTAAAAATAGGAAGGACGGAAAGAAACTATCAGGAGTTTCAAAGGATATCTCAAGGCAATCCGCGCAGCCTCGTCGCCGGGCCCTTCCGTCAGTGTTTCGGGGGCATACCCACTGCTGCCATGTCCCCTTTGGTCGATGGTGATGCCCCCGATCGTACCCCACCGCAAGTAGGAGCAAATAAACGCTCATCCTTTTTGTACACAATGACTACACGAAGTTCTTGTTCTTGTTTGTTGCTAAACTTTGTTATAGTTTGAAGATATTATGTTTGTCCGAGTGGTATACTTTGTTCGTTAGAGTCTAAAGATATAAATATTAGGTTGTCCGGAAAGTTCTCAGCGTTTTGTGCACCTATTTTTTGTACATTCACTGCTGATTAAAAACTCATTCTGCCTTGCTTCTCAGTAGCACATCCTGTAGAGAATTTCTTGCGCTATCTGATGGTATAATTGCCGTTTCACCATTGCTTGATAAACCCCCTTTTTTCAAGATTTTTTCAAGCATGTGAAAAGAGCACTTCGGACGATTTTTTTCTTCGACTATAAATTGGGGCAATCCGCAATCGAAACAGCTCAACAAATTAACCAGGTGTGGAGGCCCAATAGTGCTAGAGAAAGCTGTGCGGCAATGGCTCAACAAATTTCGTTCTGGAGATTTCAGCCTTGAAGATGAACCTCATAGCGGTCGACCTAAAGCAATATCTGACGAGGATTTTAGGGGGATTTTGGAGGCTGACCCATCCCAAACAGTTCGAGAGATAGCAGAAGAGCTAGGCCTTGGCAAATCCACTGTTGCAGATGGTCTGGAACGCATTGGGAAGGTGAAAAAACTCGACAATTGGGTGCCCCACAATCGGAGTGACCGGCAGGAATCGGCACGTCTCGAGGTTCCTTCTGCATTGCTTTTGCGCAGCAGAAACGACCTGTTTTTGGGCCGAATTGTCACCTGTGATGAAAAATGGGTCATGTATGATAACAGGAGACGTTCCGGACAGTGGTTGGATTTCGACGAACCACCGAGGTAATTTTCAAAGCCGAACCCTCACGAAAAAAGATTCTGGTCACGGCTTGGTGGTCATCGGCTGGTGTGATCCACTATAACTTTTTATCACCAGGCCAAACCATCACAGCAGAACCCTACTGTGAAGAAATCGACGAATGTACCGAAAATTTTGTCAGATGCAGCCAACACTTATCAAAAGAAAGGGTCCGATTCCTTTGCATGACAACGCCCGCCCACACGTTTCACAAATCACTATCCATAAATTGAACGAATTGGGGGTTGAAGTTCTACCTCAACCGCCATATTCTTCAGACCTTTCGCCAACCGACTATCACCTTTTCAACATTTTCAGAACTCCCTTGCTGGAAAATACTTCATCAATCAGGACCAGGCAAAAAAGCCTTAGTGGATTTCGTGAATTTTCGACCACCCAGTTTTTTCTTTGATGGGATTTCTCGACTGCTGTCACATTGGCAAAAGTGTGCTGATTCGAATGGTGCCTATTTCGATTAAATCCGATGAGTATTAAAAAAGTTACGATCGTTTAAAGTGAAACACCAAAACGCTGAGAACAACCTAATATCTTTTTGGACCCAAATAGTTGCGGTATCAGCGGTGATCATTCGCGCTTACATGTTTTATCGAGACGGCAGGGAGGCGGCATGTCAAAGCGATCGCCCGCCCAGATCAATGACCACCCACTGACTTACTATTGGGTAACTCTGGGCGGGCTTGGCAAGAAGCAACATATATAAGTCCTAGTAAGGTGCCCCGGGGTATTCTATTCTAGTCATCGTCTACCGCCGACCAGCCCCGACCTTCCAAGCAGGTGCAGCCTCCTCAACGACGCCCTCTACCGCCATCGCCCGAGGAAGTCGACTGCTGTTACAGGGGTTAGAAGGGTAAGATTTCTGAGTCCATCACGCGAGTCGCAGCAACAGTAGCAGGTTACTTCTAAGATACGATATAATGTTTGGGAAAGGAACATTATTGGTTGACAACAACTGCCAGCAGCTGATAATATTGGATGAGGGGCATCAGAAAAATAAGGTCACTAACTTGAGGCGTTGGCTCCAGCAGGTGATATAGAGGGTGAAATGGGGACATGAGCGGTGGGTGACAAAAAGCCATAACAACTGATAGGGACTGATAAATAAGAGGCCTTGCGGTCATCGTTGTTCAAGGTGTTAGAGCTTTTGAAGTACCAAATTCCAAAGTTTTTGTGAAAGGGACACTGATGACGTGTGACAGTGAATCATATCAATTGATAAAATTTGATGGAAATCAATTTTAGGAGGGAGAGGATATTGTGCGTCTGAAACAGAAAATCAAGAAATTCAGTCAGTCTTAAAAGTCTTAGACAAACTTTCGCCAATGTTCACATCACTGTAAGGACAAACTTTCGCCAATGTTCACATTACTGTAAGGGCTTGCAAGTGCCCAGGGCAAACCCCTTTAAACTTCCCTCCAGTATGTGGGCTGGGCCCCTCACATACTTCCACCATGGCCTACAACAACCATTAGTAGCAGTAACTATTATTACAATAAAACATTTTACAAAAGCAAGGTAAACAACATATATAAACTAGATGATTTCGGTACCACAAACCATGCTAATATTTGTAAGGCAGGATGCAAAAAATGCGATCTTATAGACAAAAATGATTATATCATTTCAAATACTACAAATTTGAAAATAAATACATATATAGATAATAACGCTAACTGCTGCAGTAAAAACGTAATCTACTGCCAGGGTACAGCATCGTTGTGCGAAACCCATGGGGGGGGGTCGTACCTGGCCGATGGAGAGGGGGGGGGTCGTAATCTCAAGGGTCACTCAGAGCCGAGCAATGGTTCGACATTTCAGTTGATAGTGGGAGTGGAGCTATGGAAGTCAAGATGTTTAAAAAAATGAAGTTTATTATGAGTGTATTCTTTACAGCTTTAAATGCTACGTTTAACAGCCCTCTTTTCATGGGAAATCCCCAAGAATGGGTTCGTACTTGGCCGCGGGGACGTGGGGAGTATCGCAAAAGTAGGCTCGCTAGGCATCAAACAGTACAAAGGTGTCATTACTAAGGGTAATGGAACGGACGGAAAGCTTCAGAAGACCCGGATGAGGAATACAAAATAATAAAAGATTTATTAGCAATATAGCAAGAATAAATAAATAAATAAGTGTCAGTTTATAGCATGAACTCGTAAGTACGTAGATGACTAAATAATACGTCTCAAACAGATTCGTGCGTGTTGTCCTTTACAAACCCTAAACAAACATCTGCTTGCATGGATAAAAGCACCTGCAGTTAGAATTTACACCTGCATCACTCACCTTTGCGTGGAGCCTAATGCACGGGCGCCACAGACCAAATCGATCAGAGAAGCCGTAGCTTCTCTTTCACGTCATTTGCAATTGAAGGGAAATATGTGTTTGAAGGCACACTGAAGTTTCCGAAGGTGTATCCTCACAATGGCACATAAGGAGTCAATTTTTCGGGTGGGTCAGAGGGTGGCGCATCTGTGACCCATCTAAAATATCTCCTGAACTAGTGGGTCTTCAGAAAAACTGTAAAGCTTATTGGAAAGAGAAAAGATGGAGGGGTTTCAAGACGACTTCAGTCCTGATGAAATTGCGTTTGAACGAAGCAGTCCTTGTGTGAATCATGGAAACCAGCTCACGATTTACCCCTGGCCGAACCGTGTCCCATCCGGAATATTTCACCAACGAGGAACTGTTAAGTTTGCAGCTTGGTAGAATACACAATAGTAGAAACTTTGCCGTTGCATGCTTGCCTCACACCATTCCTC